ACCAGAGTCTTCAGCAGGCCTGGTTCCGTAACAGACCTCAGAACCAGATCAAATAAGCAGTGCTGCTACTTGTTCCTCGATTCCTGTCTGCAAAGTAGTATGGTACCTAGTTTGTGGTTGTGGCGATTTCGGAATTGTTTGTCGCCTACTACGACGCTGTAATTGGATGCACACCAAATTTCTTGGTAGTAAAAATAGTCTTTGTCGTTGATTTTGAAAATTTGCAATATTAGGTAGAGGCGGTTTATAGAAAATTGTAAAATGGTAAAGTGGTAAAATGGTAAAATTCATATTAAAAAGTATTAGTATTGATGTACATAAATCATTTATGGCAACGTGGTGGAAGAGTTAAAACACGATGAGAGGATGTAAGAGATTATTATAAAACCACATGTGTATATATCGTACCGGGAAGAGGTTATATATTTTCCATAACGTCTGTTGGAGTCCTCAGCTTCAAAAGCACTATTCAACAATCAAGGTTTTTATCTTTAGAGTGCATCGAGTCGTTATTATTATAATAGTTTAATTATCCACATAGTTTAATTATAATAATAACGACTCGATGCACTCAATCCACATGTTATAAAAAGAATGACTCAATGCAAAGTTTGCACAAAAAGGATTGAATTGAATCCATAGATGAAAGAATAGAATGATTGAATCGCCCTGCTGAAGTGGGGGAACATACCGTTAATGTGCGAACTTCAGAATAGTAATATGAATTTATCCAGGATAATTAACTTCTCGAATTAAAAATGCGCGCGCGTATGAATGTGTACCATATTTTGACCGTTCATCAGCGTTTAAAACAAAAACTGCTGAACCGATTACAAAATTTAAAAGCCATTTAATGAAACTCGATGAGCACTCGTCGATTTTATTAGTTTTTCGAGACAATCGGCCGAACCGGTCATTTGTAATTAGCAGAAAGGCAAAATTTTCGTCCACGGTTTATTAAAAAAGAACCTGAACCTATATAATATTCAACTATTCAACTATTCGAAAGATATCTCAAAACCAAAAAACTAACTATTACAAAAAAAAATACTTTCGCTAAAATTGTGACAACGTGGCCATGATCTCGTGATAGCGATGCCGCCCGATTTAAGGCGATGGCTTGTTACATCTTTTGCCCTCTACTTTAAAATATTGTTATTGTTAAAAAATACGGTACTCGTATTTAAGATAATGAAATAATTTTTGCACGCAACCTTTAACCTGGCTCTGAAACAGAGTCCTAGAATATAATTATTTGCTCTCTAATTTAAAAATAATATTGATAAAAACTAATATTCTTCACGTTCCGAACAAAAATTTTAAAATATTATTTGCCCTCTACTTTAAAATAGTATCGTTAAAAAATACCACACTCTACTTGTTTTTGAGATAATAAAAATAATTTTCCCGCAATATTATTTTTTGGCCCTCTACTTGAAATAGCATCTTTAAAAAATACTATACTCTACTCGTTTTGAGATCATTAAAATAAATTGTTAACCCCGGTTTGAACAAAAATCCTAAAATGCCATTTGCCCTCAACTTTAAAATAGTATAGATAAAAACTAACTATTTTTTCTTGTTTTTTTAGATAATAAAAATATTTTTTCCAACAAATCTCTTACCCTGGTCGAACGAAAATCCTAAATATTATTATTTGCCCCCTACTTGTAAATAGTATCGATAAAAAATGATATATTTTAAAATATTTGTTTCTTGCAGTTCTCTAACCCTCCTATTAAATATTATTATTTGCCCTCTACTTTAAAATAGTATCAACAAATATACTATACTTTCTTCTTGCTTTGAGATAACAAAAATATTTTTTTTCTGCAAAGATTATTATTTGCCCTCTACTTTAAAATAGTATCAACAAAATATAGCTATACTTCTTGTTTTTGAGATAATGAACAGATTTTTTCCCGCAAATATTATTTGCTCTCTACTTTAAAAAATATCATACTCTCTCTACTTGTTTTTGACATAACGAAAATAATTTTTTTCCTCAAATATTATTTTTCTCTACTTAAAATAGTATCGTTGAAAAATATCATACTGTGTTATTTGAGAAAGTCCTAAAATATTATAGGCCTAAGACAAGTAGTTAAATTATAAGAAAACATACTATAATTTTGTATATCAATTAGAAATCGCATTCCTTAGTTCACGATGAAAGCAAAATTATTATTAAGGTAAAATGACAATTACACCTGGTTAATTATCATGGTGTGTAAACACAGAACAAATGTGCTTTACCCTGTTTTAGTGTTTTGCGCACTCAACAGAGGGCCAAAGTAACAGAATTCTTTTTAACTTTTAAATCTTTACATGCTTAATATTTTTCTAATAAAGATTTTTGTGATTTAGTTGAAAATATATTTTTGTAGCCGTATATATAATGTTCTAATTTCATTTGTTCGAATAATCAAGTTTTTCTTTTTCTTTAAATAAATCTAAGTCAGTGGCGCCTCTATTATGGAGAGCACTCTATGGAGAGCGGAAAGAATTAAAATTGAAGTAATGGCAATGCTGCCGTGTTTGTGATCTATTTACACTTTTTTATCCATGTTAATTATGTATCCACAATTATAAATATCTCTTACTTTAATATTAATAGGAGAACGGTTAAATTTCCTTAGAAGATCAAATTTTATACAGTTTTTCTTGTTAATTTGTATTTTTGGTTATCAAATTATTTTAGGCTATATATAAATTGCAGTAAATTCCAACCCTTACAAAATGAACATAAAGCTAAAACGTCCAAAAATTATCTTAACAGCAAATTGAATATGAAACAAATATTATATGTGTGCTTTGTTATTTTTATAAAGCATTGATGAATTTAAAAAAAAACATGGAAAATGTTTTATATGTTGAATGATAGGACAACGCTATCTTATGCAGTGAAAATTGTAAAAATGTTTATTTATTTGCTGTGCGACCAGGCGTATTTACATATAAACAAGCAATGAAGCATCTAATGATAACTGCATCATTGACGATTCTGTATCATAACATTCTTCCTTGCTTGTTTATTTGTAAAATATACCTGGTCGCACAGCAAATAGATAAACATTTTTACAATTTTAACTGCCAATAAACAAACATAAGATAACATTGCCATGACAACTCTATGTTATGCCCCATGAATTCTAAGTTGAATTAGTTATCGATGAGATGATTTGCATGATGAATGATTCCAGGTGTTATTTTTAACTAAAACCTCAACATGAAAAGTACTTCAAACCTATTTAATTTTGCTGATGTGTTTATAAAATAAAAGTTTGCATGATGAATATAAATTTTGCCATAAACCTCTTTAACACCGCCACCCACCTCAATCAACTTCAAATTTGATGAAAAGACCAGTAGAAAAATTTGGTGCACATACAGTTACATAAATAGAGGCAGATATAAATATAAAATATGTACAAAATATGAATAAATTTCTAAATAACATGTATTTGTCTTATTGAAAACAAATTTATATATCCCATATATATGAAAATAAGCAGCATGTTGCTTCAAGCGTATGTCGATTTCGTTTGCAACAAAAAAAATAAAAACATTTACCAATTTTACATGTAGCCTTTTACTAAATTTCATTTAGAACAGAAAATGCAATGAAAACAAAAAATAGTAGTAAACCGAACAGTTTTTTAAAAAAATACTTTTTATTATCGACGTTTTGGATTAAGTATGATCCATCTTCAGGAAAGAAGCGTACAAAAATCAAAACGTCACCAATAAATAATATTTTATTACTATTTTTAATATAATTCGTTTACTCTGTTTTCTTTATCTTTTACCTCTTACATTTAATAGCAACAGATACCACCAATACAATATTATTATTGTATTTACATTTTTCTCCCCAAAAGTGTCGATAAGCAAAACAAATCCCAAAAAGACTTTGCAAAATCGAAAAAAAAAAACGCAAAAAATGTTCTCATACCTGCAAAAGCGCTGGACCCATTACAGGAACTAAAAAACCTTGATACAAAAAATCGAGCAGTTGTTGTCTGATCATGGGATGAGCCACCTGAGAACAATAATAAATATAAAAATAACTAGATGCAATTTACTTTATAATAATATATTACGTACATTTTTTTTTTTTAGATTAATTATTAATTATTACTTGAGTTTTTAATGTTATAATATAATGATGATATTTTTACTGTGATAAGAATAGTAATTGTATTGAAGTAAGTTGTAGTATATATTGAATTTAGATAAATATCTATCTATAATAAGACTCACTTGAACGACAGCATTACAAAATTCTAATGAGTTCATAAATACGGATAGTTCAGGAATATCGTTAACATCATCCGGGGTTAATCTGTGCCATTCTGCTGATTCTATGTCCAAATGTGTTGGCAACAACGAGTATAAGCCACTTAGTCCTTGAAAAATAACAAAACGTAACCACTATAAATATTATTAACACTTTAACCGTATTAACACTAACAATTGTGCAAATATAAAAGAGTCTAATAAAAGATTGAAATATCCTCCTTACAAGTGAAGTTATTCAAATTTTTTATACCCAAGTGTAAATAATATATTATACTAATATTTAGTAAGTTTTATCTAGTTTTTAACAATGTGAATGAATCATAATGTCCGAAATAAAAATTAAAAGTTATTTGAAGAAATGTAAATGATTTTCCGAAATTCACATACTGCTAAGAAATAAATGTTCCAATAAGTTTTGTATAAAATTTTATTATGAAAATGTATAAAACAGTTTTTACTAGATTTTAGTAAAGTTGATCTAGTTTTTACTAATTAAGATGTTTGGAATGAAAATTTTAAGTAATTTGACAAAATGTAAAAAAATGTCCGAAACTCACATCTTGCTAAATATATTACAAGAAAATAAATGTTTCAACAAGTTTTATTCAAAATTTTATTATGAAAGTGTATAAAACGGATTTTAATAACACTTAGTAAATTTTATCTAGTTTTTACTGATGTAAACAAATTATAATATCCTAAACAAAAATTAAAAGTTATTTGAAGAAATGTTAAAAAATGTTCGAAATCCATATATTATTAACTATCAAAAAACTGAAGTCTGCATTTCAACTATGAATTATTCAAAATTTCAATATGAAAGTGTATAAAACAGTTTTTACTAGATTTTAGTAAATTTTATCTAGTTTTATTTATGTTTACAAATTAAAATGTTTGAAACGAAAATTTTAAATAATTTGAAGAAACGTAAAATAATGTCCAAAATTCACATACTGCTAAATATATTACAAGAAAATAAAATGTTCCAACAAATTTCATGAAAAAAATTATTATGAAGGTGTATAAAACAGTTTTTACTAGATTTTAGTAAATTTTATCTAGTTTCTACTAATGTAAACAAATTATAATGTCCTGAACGAAAATTAAAAGTTATTTGGAAAAATGTAAAAAAATGTCCGAAATCCATATATTATAAATTATCAAAAAACTGAAGTCTACATTTCAACTATGAATTATTCAATATTTCAATATGCAAGTGTATAAAACAGTTTATACTAAATTTTAGTAAATTTTATTTAGTTTTTATTAATGAGTAAAAATTAAAATGCTTGGAATCAAAATTTTGGGTTATTTGAAAAAATTTAAAAAAATGTCCGAAATCCATGTATTATGAATTACCAAAAACTGAAGTTTGCATTTCAACTATGAATTATTCAAAATTTCAATATGAAAGTGTATAAAACAGTTTTTACTAAATTTTAGTAAATTTTATTTAGTTTTTATTAATGAGTAAAAATTAAAATGCTTCAAAATGGGAATCAAAATTTTGGGTTATTTGAAAAAATGTAAAAAAATGTCCGAAATCCATGTATTATGAATTACCAAAAAAACTAAAGTTTGCATTTCAACTATGAATTATTCAAAATTTCAATATGAAAGTGTATAAAACCGTTTTTACTAGATTTTAGTAAATTTTATCTAGTTTTTATTAATGTGTACAAATTAAAATGTTTGAAATGAAAATTTTAAATAATTTGAAGAAATGTAAAAAAATGTCCGAAATTTACATATTGCTGATATCAAAACATTAAAACAAATGGTGAAAAACTAAATCAATTGAACCTAAAAAAAAACTACCCACAAACACTATTAATTAATCATATGTAAATCAATGTTTGTAACATAAAAACGGGTATTTTTACCCGCCCCGCGTATAGTGTGTTAAAATCATTAAATAAGATCATTAAAATATTTAAAATTGGGCTATAAAAATAAAATATATCAAGCTCTCAGTTACCTGTGGCAAGAACAGGACACAAATTTGAATGTTTCGCAATATACATTCCAATATTTGTATTTTTCTTTGACAAAGCCATGCACAGCAATAATGCATCTCGTGCTTGATGACCGATTGGCCCCTCCCGGTGTACAAATGGTATCAGCAGTGAAAAAATTACAAAACTGGAAATAATAAAAATTAATAAAAGAAATCAAAAACCTGTATGAACATTATTATTTGGTTTAGTTAAACTTTTGACTATTTGATATATCATTATATTTATGAATAATATTTATTCAATTATTGCAATTAACACAAATTTATACCAAAATGTATAAAAATAATGAAACTTACAGCATAGCATTTGCAAATTGTAAAAACAAGAAAAATTATTCATTTTAAAAAATTATCATATGTTCACACAAGCTTTTTAAAATATGAAAATTACTTACTTTGTGCTACCGTGATCCTGAGGTGTAAAAAAGAAGAGATCTAGTAAATGTACATTCTGCATTAACGACACACATAACTGATTCAACAGTACGACTAGCCTAGCCTCTACATCTCTAGGAAATATTTCTCCTTGGCACGATGCTAATAATTTTAAAAGAGGCCTTACAAACGGTTCATGAACTAGCAAATGCTGTCTCGAATTGCTGACTAATATCTCATAGAGTTTTAATTGTTCTAATTTAACAGCATTGTTGTACCTGGGTAAAAGAAATATGGAAATATATATATATATATATATATATATATATATATATATATATATTCAATAGATAAGTCCTGGATTTTTTCAATATATTGATTGTTTCTTTTCCGAACAGTAAATCCAAACAAATTGTTTTTTATTATTGGATTTACTGTTCGGAAAGAAACAATCAATATATATATATATATATATATATATATATATATATATATATATATATATATATTAAATTAAATTTATACTAATATTTTTTTTATACCTTCCGGTAGTTATTCCCCATTCATAAAGCTTATCCAATAAATTCTCGCTCAACAAATGTTCCAAACAAGGTGTACTGTGTGTATTTTCTTCTAACGAAAGAGCCTGCATGGAATTTGTTGCAACATTGCTGTTTGTTACAGCAGAATGCCATAGATTTTGCTGTGTCGTCGGTGTAGATGATGTCTAAAAAAAAAGATAGTAAAAATAGTAAAATTGAGTAAATTTAATTTGGTTTTCAAAATATACCTGTTTCGATAGAGATGGTTTGCTGTCATGATGTAATTCAAGTAGCAATAATGTAATTACGTGATCTAAATGGCTTACTACTCCTAAAACATCATCGTGGGTTGGTGGTCGGTTTATCTAAAAATATAATAGATATTAAATACATAGTAAAATTATGTTTTTTTGTTGTAAATATTTTTAAATATATTCCAAGTAATATGTTTTTCTAAAACGGAATGGAAAGGGCGGTAAGGACAAAGGTGGGAAATTTTACAAGTGGAGGATGTAGCATAACCTGTGGTGTTCCACAAGGTACTGTATTAGGACCTTTATTATATCTATTATAGATCAATAACCTTAAAGACGCAAATTCAAAGGGAAATTACATAGTATATGCAGACAATACTGCCATAGTATATGCAGATAAGGATAAAAAAAGACTTGAAGATACTATAAACACAGGACATGAAAATATACACCGAGTGGCTAACTGAAAATAAACTAGCATTTGACATCGATAAAATAAAATACATATATTACAAACATAGAAAAAATACCGAGAACACTAAAATAAATATTAAAGTAAATAATAGAGAAATAGAAGAAGTGGAAAGCATAAAATACTTAGGACTGATAATAAATGAAAAACTGACATGGACAGAACAAATAAACAAAATCAAAAAAACGATAAGAACATTAACAGGGGCATTGAAAAGGATCCACCCTTTCAGCAAAAAAAATAAAATACTGATTCTTAAAACGCGAATAATACTTATAATTTAAATGGAATAACAACATGGAGCCAAACAACTAAAGCAAACTTAAATGACATACAGAAAATAATGAATAAAGCCACAAAAATAGCATATAATTTTCCACATTTAACACATACTTACAGAGAGAAACAAATAATCATTCACTAAATAACATAATTAAAATAGAAAAATGAAAAACTAATACACAAAATGAAATTTAACCGAATTAAAACAAGTGCAACAAGACATAAATCAAGATATACATGAACACTACACTAGACAACACAACAATTTTCACAATGAACACGATAGAAGAAAGAACTTGAGAGAAAATGTCATATGGAGTGCCAGCAAAATATATAACGAATTGCCAAACGATATTAAGATGACCAACAATGACGATAAATTTAAAAGAAAAATAAAGAAATACTATAAGGAAATTGAAGACAAAGAAGTCTAAAGAGTTATATATAAAAATATTTTAATTATATATAGATATATTAACGAAATAGATATTATAGTCAAATAAAATGTATATATTATATGAAAATGGTTTTTCATAATCTCTCATACCAGACACCTCTGTCTGACTGAGATATGAAAATAATGTATATATATAAATAAATAAAAATAAAAAACCTTTCGAAAGTCCTAGTTTGTACATTTGATCCAATTTTATGGATTAAATATTTGTATTATACAAAAATATAATAATTAAATTGAATTGAATTTATGTTTTTTTATATTTCTAGCGTTCATTTTCATTGTGATGCAGAGTGATATGAATGCTGTAGCATTCAAATTTTGAGATCATATAAGTCTAAATTTGAATTTAATTTTATATAACCTCAAATTTTTGTAATTATTATACAAAAGCTAGCAAATAAATGATTCTTTGGGTATTTTCGTATTATTTTATTATTTCTCTATAAATGAATTCATCTAAAAAAATACTTGACGTGAATGTGATAGCATTCATAGTACATAAGGATTAAAATATCATAATTTGATTAGCTTTATAAATCAAAATTCAGAATTCACAATAAATTTAAAAATAAAATGATAAAAAAATTATTGTGAACAAAATATGTTCATCATTAATGATATTCTCAAATTTGAATTCGGCTAAACAAAAGTTTTCAAGATTTTTTCTCAATTATCATTTTCCCAGTATATCATTTTACACCAGTTTAAAAATAACTTTTACAACTCTAACCTGTGATTTTTGTATAATATCATAAGCCTGTTGCCAATGTTTGCAAAAGCTATCATAACAAGCCTTAGGGTCACAATTTGTATTCGAATCCAAAGCCCTCACAGATCCTTGTCGAGAAAAGCTGTTCCTCAAAGGGCTGGACCTCAACCAACTCATTTTTTCTTATTCTTGTATGAATCATCAAATACACTGATATGGCACAATCTGTACTTTCATTGTGATAACTTCTATTCAGAATTGACATAAACTAAACTAAAAGTAATTCACATTATTTTGAATGTGTGGTTCATTATTTTTTATGGCTTGAGAACTGGGACGAGTGGATTTGACACAAATTGAAAATCTGTCAAAATAGAATAAATATGGTTAGTTATTAAATGGTACAAAAAAGAATTGATGATGTATTATTTGAACTGTGAGTACCTTAATTAATTGCTTTATCTAAAAATAATAACGGGTACATCGTGGGAATACTATTAAACTATTTTAATAAAATAAACAAATAATGCAAAACTAGTCGAATTTTTTTGCTATAAATACCATGAAGCTGCTGACAAGAGTGACAAGATGGAAACATGTGACTGTTACCAACATGCACCACATAGATGGAACTAGTTGATAAAATTTTTGAAAATGAATTAAAAATGTTAAAATTAAGCATATTTATTATTAAATTGTCTTTTAAGTGCATCATATAAATTCAACTCCACATAAATATTTTATCATAATGATAATTTTTGTCCAAAATCTTCATATGTGAATGTACGTTAAAAAAATGAGACTTTTATTTCAAATTTAATGTCTGTTGCTATCTTCTTTTGCTAAACCAATTAAAACAGATAACCAGATGACTTCCGTTGCAAGTTAAATTTGATAAAGGAAACAAATGTATAGTTCCAAATTGCAACACCGATACGCAGCGCCACTGATTAACTTTTTCGTTAATCGTCGTTAAATCGTCGACTAAAAACTGTATCCGCACATACGCTTGTACCTACATAAATACACACATTCTCACAAGAATTCGTTTTCTTTCTAAAGTAGGCAAAAAAAATTCTTTTAGATTTTTTGTCCTTGATATAAAACGCTACAAGTGACATCCGGTTACCAGGATACGCAGCGCTGCTGGTTAACTTTTTTTGCGTTCCAAAACCGCTGGACCTGCCGTCTCAAATATGTGATTAATTCTTAAATTAGTCAATACAAGTAAACTGTTTATGAATAATTCTAATCGGACGCTCCGTTCTCTGCCATTTTTTGCACTTTTTGTTTCATATCTCCAAAACGACTGGACCTGCTTTTCAAAAAAAAAAAAAAAAATAGAACGTCTCCTTGTCAATGGGAATCGAATGTTTTTCAAACTAGTGGTGCATAGCATTGTGCCTCGAGACAAATTGCTGGAACATTCCGTATCATAATTAAATATTCCAGGAAAAAACAGTAATTAATATATATTGATCAGTAATTAACAATTCTTTTAAATATTATCAGATAGATAATTATAAATGCTCTATATTTTGTTGCTTATACATCATATATCGACGATCTGATAGCATAAAACACTTAAGAATGTTTACATTAAGAAGAGATGTAGGATAAATCCATCTGAGGATGTATTTCTTACGATTAGAATAACGCATTTGAAATATGTATATATATGTATATACTGAATTGTAAATTTAAAATTCATATTTGAAGTGTTACCTTTGTAAATTTTTGATAATTTTGAAAAAAAATATTTTCTGAAAATTTTGAAAATTGCTTGAACCGTATAAAGTAACTTTGAAAATTAACAATCTTGGTACGAAACCTTACAAAATTCTAACAAAATTAGTACTAATTTTTGAAATTTTTATCAAATATTTGATAATTTGATGTGCATATATCTAATGATCATTTTTGGCCGCCAAATTTCACATTTTATTTTTTTTTCCATTTTTTCGTCTGTATCTCCAAAACTGCTAGACCTGCCTTACCCAAAATTTTATCAATTCTTCATTTCGTCAATACAAGTAAAATGTATTTTGAAACATTCAAATCGGGTACTCCGTTCTCTCAAAAACTGAATTACCGTTTTTGGCACTTTTTGCCCCGTATCTTCGAAACGGCTAGACCTGCCTTTGACAAAAACTAATCAGCACGTTTCCTTATCAACAGAAATTGAATGTTTTTTGAATTATTGAAATCGGTTGAACCGTGTTCCCGAAATCGTCAACGAAAATTTGTATCCGAATACATACACACACACACACACACACACACACACATAAATACATACATACACACACAAGATATGTAAAAATTTTCATTTTCGATTTTTTGTCCTTGATATAAAACTTTTATTGAACAAAGTAAATTACAACTCTTACATAATATTTGTAAAGTAAGATTTTTCCATAATTTTGATCACACACAAATAATAAATACTTGGAAGTTATTTATAAAAAACCTTGACTTAAATCTTATTATATTCTTAATTGTATTTATCATGTGTATGTATTTAATTTCCTTTGCATATGACATCAATTTAACAAATTATATTACATTACTCTCTATTGTTTTCCACCAAATCCACCCATGAGGTTTCCTAAGCCTCCCAGACCTCCGGCAGCACCTTGCTGCAGCTGCCTCATCATATTTTGTAACCCGCTCGTGCCCCCCAGCTGGTGCAGAACCCTCGGGTCCATCATTTTGGCCATTTGTTGATTCAATTTGGCCATTTGTGTGGGGTTGACATTCTTGGCCATATCTCCGCCTTTGAAGAGACCTTTTACGCCTCCCATTTTTTTAACTACTGCAGCAAACTTTGTGTATTGTGTAATGAGTTCTTTTACTTCTCGTTCGGTGACACCGGAGCCCTGGGCGACTCTTACAACACGACCGTTTTGTTTTGTGAATAATTTGGCGCCGTCTCTGTTGTCCAGTTCACCGTCATTCATACTGTCCATCATTGTCATGAATTTTTTGAGACGGGCCATTGATTCCTGCTCGCTTCCCTAATATAATTGAAAATTGTAAATATTATAATTAACAAATATAAAAATATTTATTAACTTCCCGAAGGAGAAGTTTATGTTTTCATCAAAAAATCCGATTCGCTAATTTTATGTTTTCTCGACATTTCAAGCCATTCTGAATCGAATGAGACCAAATTTAAGGAAAAAGTATGTGTGTGTGTGTGTGTGTGTGTGAACAGATTTTTTACCGTAAATCGACGTTTTCTCCAAAACGGCTGGACCGATTTCAAAAATTTAAAAGCCACTCGATGTATCTGAATGAGGACTATGTTTGTCAATTTTGTGCGACGATCGCCCGGGCCGTTCTTTGTAAATTGCAAAAAAGTGAAAAATTTTCGTCCACGTTTTAGCCCGCAATTCTGAATCGATTTTGAAAATTCAAAAACCGTTCGAAAGACATTGGTTGGGAATCGTGCTGATTAGTTTTTGGTAGAGATCGGCCGGGCCGTTTTCTTGTAATAAAGTTTTTTAAAAAAAAATTTCGACGATTTTTATGATTTTTTTTTGACGATATTTACCATAGTCTTCTAGATCAGGGGTCGGCAAGCTTTAACTGTGGTGTGCCGAGCCACTCTACCAATATGATTCAGGGTGCCGCCTGAAATATATAACCAGGGTCTGCGGGAGAAGAATTATAACCAAATTTATCTTTCAAACTTTTGTATTAACTAGTGGGTGCATGGCATCGTGCCTTAATTCAAATTGCTAGAACTTTCCTTACTGAAATTAAAAATCTTGGTACTGAACCCAAAAAAAATTACACAAAATATGTACACAGTATTAAAATCTCTATAAAATATCTGATAATTTGATGTACATAAGTCCAATGGGTGTAAAATTACTACAATGTTTGTAACAATACTACAATGGGTGTAAAATTACTACAAATGTTTGTAACGAAAACTACAATGGGTGTAAAATTACTACAATGTTTGTAAACAACACTACAATGGGTATAAAATTACTACAATGTTTGTAAACAATACTACAATGGGTGTAAAATTACTACAATGTTTGTAAACAATACTAAAATGGGTGTAAAATTACTACAATGTTTGTAAAAATACTACAATGGGTGTAAAAATACTACAATGTTTGTAAAAATACTACAATGGGTGTAAAATGAAATTAAAAATTAAAAATTAAAAATTTGCTTGACAAGAGCCTGAAATAATATCTATTATTATTGATTACGGCTTGCTTATGAATAAATAAATAAATAAATAAAAATTACTACAATGTTTGTAAAAATACTACAATGGGTGTAAAATTACTACAATGTTTGTAAACAATACTACAATGGGTGTAAAATTACTACAATGTTTGTAAAAATACTACAATGGGTGTAAAATTACTACAATGTTTGTAAACATTACTACAATGGGTGTAAAATTACTACAATGTTTGTAAAAATACTACAATGGGTGTAAAATTACTACAATGTTTGTAAACAATACTTCAATGGTGTAAAATTACTACAATGTTTGTAAAAATACTACAATGGGTGTAAAATTACTACAATGTTTGTAAACAATACTACAATGGGTGTAAATTACTACAATGTTTGTAAACAATACTACAATGGGTGTAAAAATACTACATGTTTGTAAAAATACTACAATGGGTGTAAAATTACTACAATGTTTGTAAAAATACTACAATGGGTGTGAAATTACTACAATGTTTGTAAACAATACTGCAATGGGTGTAAAATTACTACAATTATATTTCAACATTTTTTCTTATTTAAAAATCACTTCGTCTCGATATATTTGCGATTGCCCTGATTATTTTGTAGAGTGCCATGCAAAACGCCCGCGCGTGCCAAGCTTGGCACGCGTGCCGTAGGTTGCCGATGCCTGTTCTAGATCATACTAACATATTACGGCCCTACGACAACTCGTTTAGCTTTAAAAATTCGTCAAAGTTTGCAAAAATTAGTATGGTCTTTTTGGCATTTGTCGAAATTAGAACTTTCATCGACGTTTTCTCAAAAACGCCTGAACCGATTTCAGAAATTTAAAAGCCATTATTTGATGTATTTCGGTGAGGACTATCGTTTGTCAGTTTTGTTCGACAATCTGCCAAGCCGTTTCTTTGTAGTTTGAAACAAAGTGTATAACTTTTCGTCCACATTTAAGCTCAAACTACCGAATCGATTTTAAACTAGTGGTGTATGGCATCGTGCCTTAAGGCAAATTGCTAGAACTTCCCGTACCAAATATTATTATTTTTTTAAAAACGATTAATATTTTTGAAAAATATTGACTTAGAAAAAATTAGATTTTTGAGAAACTAGGAATTTGACAAAAAATTACTTTTTTTGAAAAAAAATTTTTTTTTTTAAAAAAAATGTTTTCTTTATTTTGACATATTTTGGAAAATCTGAACTTTTTTACAAAGCAATCGTACTCCTTTAACTGCGCATAGAGACGAATTATCGAAGCGCGTAAGCGCCGCGTCGCCGTCTAACGAATAAACATTGGTACGGAACCCATAGGAATGTAAACCAAATTTATACTTATTGATAAAATCTCTATAAAATATCTGATAATTTGATGTGCATATGTCTAATGTTCATTTTTGACCGCCAAATGGCATTTTTTTTTTACTTCTTTCATTAGATCTCCGAAACCGCTAGACCTGCCTTTATGAAAATTTGATCGGTTCTTCTCCTTGTCAATACAAGTAAAATGTTTTTTGAATTATTAAAATCGGACGCTTCGTTCTCTTAAAAACTGAGTTACCGTTTTCGGCACTTTTTGCCCCGTATCTTCGGAACGGCTAGACCTGCCTTCGCCAAAAACTAATCAGCACGTCTCCTTATCAATACGAATCGAATGTTCTTCGAATTATTCAAATCGGTTGATCGGTGTTCCCGAAATCGTCGACGAAAATTTGTATCATACACACACATACATCCATTTTTTCTAAGGTATGCCAAAATATTCAGAAACCTTTGAAACGTCGAGAAATGCAAAAATTTTCATTTTCGATTTTTTTGCGATTACTATAACTTGCCCTATGGTAAGTTAACAAATATTGAAATATTTTTTATTTCTATTTTATACTTACCTTAGATATGAAGTCTTGTGAAAATCCAGGAATCATGCCCATAATTTGTGAAAACGGTCCCATTTTCATAATATTCTGAAACTGTTCATACATATCACGCATTGTAAACTGCCCGTGTTTTATTTTCTCTAATAATTCTTCATTATCATCCAATTTTAATTCATTAACTTTATCGATCAAGCCTTCTATATCACCCATACCCAACAACTTGCTTACGAAAGGTTTAGTTTTAAAAGGTTCTAAGTCGTCTATGTGTTCTCCTGTACCTATAAAGATAATAGGACTATTTGTGGCTGCTACAGCTGATAAGGCACCTCCACCTTTAGCATGACCGTCCAATTTTGTGATAATAACCGAACCAATGTCTACTTTTTCTTTAAAAGCCTTCGCTTGTCCTTCACAAGCCTGTCCAATAGTAGCGTCCATGACGAAAATAATATTATCAGGACGTATAGCATTAGAAACTGCTAACATTTCCTCAAACAAAGATTCTTCTTGCTTATGTCTACCACTGGTATCAACAATAATAAATTCAAAGCCTTCCTTCTTAAACATATCTACACCATCTTGGGCAATAACTACAGGATCAACTTCTGTGTAGCTACCGTAGAAAGGGATTCTAGCTTTTGTACAATTTTGTTTAACCTGATCGTAAGCACCGGCACGGAAGGTATCAGCACAGACCAGGCAAGATTTCCAGTTCTTTTTTAAATAATGATAAGCGAGTTTTGTACATGTTGTTGTTTTACCTGAACCTTGTAAACCTACAAACATGATGACGTTCGGTCTGCCTTTAACAGGTTGGAAGGGTTTTACTCCGGGGTCTACAAGTTTGACAAGTTCTTTGAACACTGCTGACTGGATCATACGTCTCTTGTTGAGGCCTCCAGCCATTTCTTCAAAGTCGATGACAGATCGTACATTCTCTCTTAATTTTTTGACTAAACGAATGTTGACATCGGCTTCTAGTAAGGCTGCACAGATGTCTTTTAACATAGAATTTAAAACCTCTTCATTAATTACAGTTGCTTTACTCAGCGACTGTAACGCAGAGGTTATCTTGCGTCCTAAATCTGCTAACACCATTTTGATAAACTATATATATATACAACTATATACTTAATAATTAAATATAATATGTCAAATTATTTCTTTTACTAAATATATGAATTTTGTCATAGCACAACTTTAAATCAAATGTAAATTCTGCCAAAAACATATGCTATATCGAACTATTTGTTTACTAAGATACATGCATTGTTATATAATTATTAACAAAAATTGTATTTCAATAAGAACATGTTTTGTTATACTTTGTTGTGAATCTTTTTAATATTTTATAATTATTTTTGAATCGAAAAATTCATCTTGACATATGACAAAATATAAAAGTCGACACACGTATCAATACAAGCACCAACATTAGAAATAAACGGAGCTGTCAACACAGAACAAGTTCAGAACACTGCCAACAAATAATACAAATTTTGAAATACGAATCTTGAATTATGTATTTAAAATAATCGTTTGTGTATTTAAATATAATTAATAACAATTAATTATTAGACTCCTTATAAGGCATATTGCCAAAGCAAGTTGCATGATCTTTCAGATACATGTAAATAACTAAATACACACTTAAGGGGTTATATACACAGTTTGCATTTTCTGAAAATCGTTTTTTTTTTTATAATTTTCCGTAGAGTAAGTTTATAGTAATCGTAAAAAAATCGAAAATGATTTTTTTTATATATATTTACGTTTCAGGGTTCTGAACATTTTGGCATACCTTAGAAAAATGGATGTATGTGTGTGTGTGTGTGTGCGGATACAAATTTTCGTCGACTATTTTGGGAACTTCACCGATTTGAATAATTAAAAACACATTCGATTCGTGTTGATAAGGAGACGTTCTGATTAGTTTTTGGCAAAGGCACGTCTAGCCGTATCGGAGATACGGGGCAAAACATGCCAAAATGGTATTCAAGTTTTTAAAAGAACGGAGCGTCCGATTTGAATGATTCAAAAAACATTTTACTTGTATTGACAAAATAAACAATTGGTGAAATTTTTGGAAGGGCAGGTCCAGCGTTTGCGGAGATCTAGTACAAAAAAGTAAAAAGGCCATTTGACGGTCCAAAAAGATCATTAGACATATGCACATCAAATTATCAGATATTTTATAAATATTATAATGATAAGTACAAATTTTGTGTACATTTCTATGGGTTCCGTACCATTGTTTACACGGTAGACTACGACGCGGCGCTTACGCGCTTCGATATTTCTACTCTAAAAAACAGTTAGTCTTATGCAACGTTTTGCTTTTAAAAAAGTTGAAATTTATCAAAAAAAAAATCAGAATATAAAAAAAATCAAATTCCTACAAAATTGTTAAGTTCAAAGAAGTTCTAGCAATTTGCCTTAAGACACGATATTATGCACCACTAGTTTATTGGTATTATCAAAAAAATAGTATTACTAGATATTTAACCTTAAGGCAAATTCGCATAAACTTCCCGGTGTATGTGTAAATAATAGACTAAGAAACCGATTCTGCCGCATAATAGAAAAATGTTATGGCAAAGCCATGTTATGAAGAACTTTTCATATAAATATTGACAAAAGCCATGTCGTTGGTGTGCATTCAGGCATATTTTTCAGGTGTCGGTAGAAAATATAACTTAGAAACCGCACAACGTCAAAAAAACAACTTAGATAACAGAGTCTTTCTGACTCAGCTCCATAACATAAAAGTGACGTTGCAGTTTATGTGTGAAACGCCTGAATCCACAGCAAATACATGACATTTTGACGGTATTCAGTATGATGCATTGGTATAATGTATGCAAGTTGAAGCGTAACATGGCCTTGCCATAACATCTATAAGTATTTCGATTTGTGACTAAATACATACAAGTTTAACTGATTTAAATTATCATTTAATAAAACGAGTGTAATTCTTATTAGTATTACGAAGCAATTCATACAATAAATTTTCAAGTTGAGATATTTTAATAATCGTTTATACATTCTTTTTGCATTTAGGTTCAACAGGTTTAGGAGGAGTCCATATCAAAATCTTAGGCCTGGTTGTAGAATATGGATAATACTGGTCTCTGGTTCCTGTTTTTATTTTCGTTATGTTCTAACGAATAACAATGGGGTAAATTATCGGATTCTGGTGGATTTGCTGTACGATGATGTAACCAGCCTTGCCACTCGGGAGAACCCTAAAAAATATTTGTAATTTTTATGTTTTTCATAACTATCTTCAAGCGTATTTTTGTATTATTATATTGGCCATGAATACAGCTATCTTCATGACGGTACCGGAAAGTAGCTACCCTGAATCGAGCTTATTTTAGCCTTTGAGCATTAATTGTAATAAAAACTTGCTAAAAATATCATATTATATAAACAAATCAGTATTTTTACAGTCCAAAGTTCCAAAGGTTGAAATCTAACCCAACAACCTATAAAGCTTTTCATGAGACCTTTACAAACTATTTGAAAAAAAAAGAAGGAGCATATGCTATTATGAAAGTGTAGTATGATTCTAAATATTATTTATATTTTTTTTATTTACCTGAGATGCATCATAGTTTAGACCATGATGTTCAGCATACACAACCCATCTATTTGTTGGAAAGAAATATCTTGGATTTTCATAATATTTATTTCCATATCGATCCCTACCAACATATTTGCCGATTTAAGACTATCCATTCTGTTTGTCAATAATTTTTTGATTTTAGATTAATTTATAACATCAATAAGTTACATTCTCACCTGTACAATGTATAAATGCTTTTACGAATGCCTCCATTAAATTTGATGATTTTTATAAGATTTTTCATTGGTTCAATAGGACTCATTATTAAATCTTTAATTAACGATGCCATTGTGAGTAATAAATAATTAAATAATAATTAAATAATTTCAAAATATTTTTATTTAAGAATGCACAAGTAAAAATTGTCAATTTGTTAAACAGTCAGTTGTTTTTTTTTTAACTTAAAATGAAAATTTTGCATTTTTCGACGTTTTGAAGGTTTCTGAACATTTTGGCATACCTCAGAAAAATGGATGTGTGTGTATGTATGTATGGATACAATATGGATTTGAATGGTTGAAAAACATTCGATCAAATAACGTAACGTATCGAGACAAAATTCACAGTATTCAGGAATAAATTTTATTCTAGTTGAACTAAAAAAACTTAAAAAATGTTATAATTAACCCACTTTATAAACAATCTAAAGTAAAATTTTGAAAAAAACATGATTTTTTTCAAGTTGCAAAAATTTCTGTATTTTTTAGGATGGAAATTGTGAACTGCATCTTTCTCGCCAAAAGACACTTGCACGCTCGTGGCGCATCGGCAAAATGCTTGTACCCGGCATATTATGACATATATTTTAACGAAAAAATTGAGAAGAATGTTGAAATATGTAATAATAAAACCTGAAAGTTTCGTTTTAATTAAACATTTATTTCCTTCCTTAAAATTCTTCAAAAGGCGACTTGTTAAAGCTTTTGAAGCAAGCTCTCTACTCAATATTCCTCATTACGGTACGGCAAGTTTCAGAAATTTGCCTCAATGCACGAAGCCATGCACCACTAGTTTATTATTATAGTTCATGCAACTTGCCTCAAGGCACAATGCCACTTACACCTACTAATATATCCACTTACCATACCACCAAAGACGCTAAATAATTAATTTCGCCATGGCAATAAAATAATTACCCCTAACAAACCAAAAAAAGACACCTCGACGTCATCTGTCCACGGCACGTCCGACGACGACGACGACGGATTCATTTACAAAAAAAGTCGGTTAATTAAAATCGGTATAGAGACACACGGCGATGTGTTTTTGTTGTAATAATAATAAATAATATTTTATATACATGGCGTACGAGTTATAAAAATGTTTTTTTTCTTTAGTGGACTTGAATGTGTCTCTACTCTCAACGTGCGGGCGGGCGGCCGTCGGGCGCCCCGTCGTTTTGATTGTCGTACATTTTTCACTGTCGTTGTAATAAGAAACAGAATTATGGTCACTCTTATTTACTAAAATAAGACACAAAGATTCTTTTACAATTATAAGTACTTACCACACGTTTCCACAGTAATATGGCCAATTGGGTACTTTTAGGTAGTATAGTTTACTATTTATGGTATCTTACTACATTACTGTACATCTAACCCGCTTTACATGAAATATAGGTTTCATAAAAATATGTGTAACTTTCCGATATGTGAAAATAACGACTTAATCAATAAAAATAAATTAATTTTGGCGTAATTAAAAGTATTCCGAGTGGATTTATTACACATAATTGAAAACGAACGAACACGTTAACTCGGAGTATTTTCTAAAAGCAAATTTTCAAAAAACAAAATTTTTTATAATTGAACCAGTTTCCGTAGGACTTTAATGGTTTAGTATGTTCATTGAGACCAAGTTGCTACTCTATCGTTATACCAAATAAATCATCAAACTTTAATTTAAACAGACGTCAAAAAACTACTAATTTTCTCAAACTTTGATGAATTTTAAAATTAAACTACTTGCCATAAGGTCGTAATATTCAAAGTTCTATAAGACCATGATATATATAGCCAAAAAAAGTTCCATTAAATCGGCTCGTTAGATTTTCACCTAAAACTAATCGTATCATTTTCAAATTAATATCTTTCGAACAGTTTTTGATTTTTTTAAATCGATTCGGTAGTATGAGCTTAAATGTGGACGAAAAGTTTAACCCTTTTTTCCAAATTACAAAGAAAACGGCTCGGCAGATCGTCCCACAAACTGAACAAACGATAGTCTCATTGAGATACATCAAATGGCTTTTAATTTCTGAAATCGGTTCAGGCGTTTTTGAGAAAACGTCTATCAAAGGTCAAATTTTGACACACGCCAAAAAGAAACGATACTAACTTTGAAAACTTTGAAAAAATTTTAAAATTAAACGACTTGTCGTAGGGCCGTAATTATTTGTATGATCTACAAGACTATGGCATCTACCGTTAAAAAAAAACATAAAAATCGTCGAATTTTTTTTTTAATTTATTAAAAGAAAACGGCCCGGCCGATCTTTACAAAAAACTAATCATCACGATTCCCAATCAATATCTATCGAACGGCTTTTGAATTTTCAAAATCGATTCAAAATTGCGGGCTAAAACGTGGACGATTTTTTTTTCATTTTTCTGCGATTTATAAAGAAACAGTCCGTCGATCGTCGCACAAAACTGAGAAACGCTAGTCCTCATCGAGATACATCGAATGGCTTTTAAATTTTTGGAATCGGTCCAGCCGTTTTTGGAGAAAACGTCGATTTACAGCAAAGATCTGTTCACACACACACACATACTTTTTCCAAATTTGGTCTCATTCGATTCAGAATGGCTCGAAACGTCGAGAAAACATAAAATTAGCGAATCGGAATTTTTGATGAAAACATAAACATAAACTTCTCCTTCGGGAAGTTAACTAGCGGTGTACAGCATCGTGCTTTACTTTACACGAGTGTACTTACATTTTTCAAATTTCTATGCCTCCTTAGAATGGCTTGACAAAATAAAATTAGTGTACATAATCTTCTCTTTCACATAATCACAAATCCTCATCATAATTCATCTCCAACAACCACCTTTCCTCATCCCACAATCAAAAATTCAATTCGTCGCCTAAAAGGACTTTTTTCTCCAGCCACATCATGTTTTTTTTTCGTCTTTGTCTCGTTGTGTTGTTGTATAGAGTATTGAGGGATTTGCGTTTTATTTATTATTATTATTATTTTTGCGATAAAGTCACATCAGAATATAATGATTGCTTGTCAACGAAGCGGCTTACCGCATCAGAAGACGACGACGTCGACGTCGACGTCAATGTCAAGGGGATGGAATAACGTAAACAGCTTTTTTGCGGAGGAAAAAATAGATATTTATCAGAAAAAAATATGCGGGGTAAAACACTATCGATTGGTTTTTGAATCGATGAAATCGATAACAGGAAATATCTATACGCGTAGTACGAAAATTTACAATCCCGGATTAAATTTTGTAAAATTATTGAAGTAAAACTTCTTTAGGCGCGACATGGGTGTAAAAACTTCTTTAGGCGCGACACGGGTGTAAATCCGTACAAATGCAACGAAAACGCCAACGTGTAGTTGAAGACTACGACGCTAGTAGCGCAGCTATCGCAATTATTCGATCTAGTCTGCGAGCAAAACAAAAAATACATCAATGTCAAATCATATGTCAAAAACAAACAAAATGTGTCGACTTTCACTTGAGTTTTGTAATTAGCTCGTAGTCTCTAAACATTTTTTGAAGTAAAACTTCTTTAGGCGCGAAATGGGTTAGCAGTATAATTCGTGAGTTAATAAAAATGTCAGGATCGGAAGAATATTTTATCCGTCCCCCATAAATAATTGTAGTGCAAATGATCGCAAATAAATAATGAAACTAAGGAAAAATCTGCGCTGCGTAAGAAATGATAGCTTTGGCTATGTATGTTTTTGTGTTTGATCGACTTTGGCTTCAAAGTGACTTAGAAAGATCAAATGATGCTCAAAAACAAATTCTTAATAATGTTTTTTGAATATTGATTTAAATAATCATGTTGGAACTTGTCGAAAGATATTAAATTCGGGTAAAATTCCCACTTTGTGTAAATTTAACGGGTTTGTATTTCCACCTATACCAAATTATCTAGATACTGAATCTGAAAGGTTGAAAGGAAAGAATTAGACGATTGCGACATGCAAATGGACAATTTGGAATGTTTGGCCAAATTATAAATGTGCCTGTTGACATTAATAATATGGTTAATTTATTACCTCGTAATATTGATGATTATTGCATTAACGTTCACATAAAAAAGCAAATGATTCATAGATCAAGCTATGTGCAGGGCTTGATAAATAAAACAAATATAAAAGTATGGCTTCAATTTTATAGGCAAGACAGATATTGAGAATGAGATTATATCGTCAGCGAAAAAGTAAAAAAATAAAAACAGTTAATTTTAATTACATGAAGTTTTTCAAACACAATTGTTACATGATGTGTGAAATTGTGAAAACAATATTTGTTTAGGCGTTGTTTAACATAATCCACTGTGTGAATGAATATTATAGAATTTATTAATCAGCAAGTACTTTAAAACGATCATGTCATATTTCAAGTACGACTTTGATTACATTATTGTTTGTAAATATTATACATATTTTTAATGTAATCATAAATATATAATTCATAATTTATCATTATATAAATGTGTATAATGATTGACGACACTAATAAGTGTGTGCATCACGAGTGTTATCATATTACTAATAAACATTATTCAAAATTTTTATATGATGTATTTATTTTTACTCAACTTAAATTTGCTACTTTATACAGTAGCAAATAAGTTTTACTTCAATCGCGTATGATCCTTACGCGCACTCTTTTTTTATTATTGAAACATTTTTTGAACATTCAGGACAGAAATTTTGAATCCGGGACATATATCTTGAATTCGGAATAGAAATTCCTGACAGAAGTCTTGAATTCCGGACATAAA